AGGCTGTGGGCTGAGGAGATGCTTCTCCCCGTGACCTTGAACCTCCTCATCCTCCATCACACCCACCCACCCTTGCTTAGTAATGAGGTGGGCATCTCCCATAGTTTAGAAGACTGCTCTTTGCTCAGTGCCAAAGAAAATAGCTACACTGACAACTGATAACTGATTATTTTATGAGGTCAAATATTCTCAGCTGATTTATGTGTTTTCAGGGGGTTCCATCCCTATAACCAGCGTAGGCATTTTTTCAGGTTTAAGGGCTATGACCTGGCCTACCAACCATCCAGAGAACCCCCCCAAGAAGACATGGGCTTTCTTTGTTTTGTAGGGAGGTTAGGGTAAAAATGATCAGCTTTTGGGAAGCAAAGTGCTTCCTTCCTCCTCCTCCTCCTACCTCAAATCAATAAATAAAGGCCTGAAATTGCATTGCTGAAATTCAGCCATTTTGTTAGCAAATCTGGTGGCCCAGTCCAGGGGTGCTGAGCATGAAATGCAGGCCACAGACTCTGAGCCCCACATCAGATAGAAAAGCAGATAATACATGCAGGTCAACTTACAGCCTGAGTTCTTCACAGTTATATAAAAATAATATCTTACAGCATTGATGTGCCCAACATGTTGACTACAGTGTTATCCTCATTGTTATGAACTATACCCTGAAATTCTACTGTCACATCATTGTTCCTTTCTATTTGTCTCATGTTATTTTTATTTCCTGCTGTAAGCTTCATATGAAATATTGACGGGAGGTGTTAAATAATCAAAGGAAGGTGACAATAATTTAAGGCACCGTTCAATTTTCACTTAAAGATAGCTCATAATTCTTTCCATTGGTACAATCTTTACAATTCTATTGATCCATTTCATTTCTGTAGGGGTCGTCAAGAGAAAACCCATTTATTGGACTTTCAGAAGGAACAAATAATGAGACATGGAGCAAATAAATAATAATTCTATTTGTGATTGTTCAAATAATAGAAAGTTTCTTAAATTCCAGTATATGAGCCACTGTAACAAATTCCTGCCAAGTCAGTCTCTTTCAAAAGGTTACCCTTTCCATCTCCCTAACAAGAGTATTTTTCTATCTAGTCAAAAAATTGGATAATGATAAATTTCAAATACTCTCCTGATCATATACTATCTAGTTCTCTTATGTTCTTTCTCTCTTGGTTTTATCTGTGTGTTATGCAGAACATCTGGGCAGAGGATTAAAACATGAATTACAAAAGGAGAGAAACTAGAATGGAAGATAAAATACATTTTTTTTCTCCTCCAGATGATAGAGGTCCTTAGTCAGCTGATTATAGACTACCCAGAAGTGAAACGTTGGGTGTTCAAGGTGGATAATGACTTTGGGGGAAATGGAACTGCATTTTGTGACATCACTAAACATCTCAAATGCTACCCTTGGATTATGAAGGAGAGTCTTCGATATGGACCAGAGATATGGAATAAGAGGTGGGCTCACGTAAGTCATTTTGGATTTCATAAATTTTGAGAAGGCTGTCTCAAAAGGCAAAATCCTAGAAGGGAAGTCCAGGGCATAGATCTTGTTCCAGTGTGGAAAGGCTGTTTCTTCCAGATCAGTTTTCCCTTTAAAAGTAATAGTCAACACCATTAGAATCTCTTCTAATTGCAGCAGATATTAATTTGATAAATAAAGTAAATAATGTCCAGGAATTCAGTAGGAGCTATTTTCAGTGATTCGACTAAGGACAAATCAGGCTGAAAAGTTGGCCTCTTGTTCTGCCAACTTGGCCGATATTTATTATGTATAAACTTTCCAGGTTGGTAGTTGGCATAATTTGTCACAATAGAAACAAATATATTAATGACATACAAGTTTTCGTGGAATAGAGTCCACACTCGTATACGGAAGTCCTTGCAAGCTTCTGCTAAAATAAATTTGTTAGTCTATATAGAGTGTGTTATATTTTTAAACTTTTGGGCAGAGTAGGAAAAAAGTTATGAAAACACAATAGAACTTTATGCAGTGTATTAAAACAGTGCACTGTTTATCTGAATGTATGTATCTTAATGAAACTACCTTCTTCTTATTCACCCATCACCTGAGTAGCATTTTATTCCAGTCATGCACCCCATTGTTCAACTCCTGCTGCATGTTATCCTTCTCTTCCTAATTGGGGCCAGAATGTCCATTGCTAAGTGAAGCTGTTGTTAAAGAAAACATCATGTGACTGTGCTGCTTAGCCACCACAGTTCTGGCAGTCCCAGCTGCGGTTCTTAGGCCAGGATCTCACGCTTCCCCTGCACTGTGCGAACTGCCTCTACTTCAACTGCCCCCCCGCCTATCTCCCCCCTGCAGCTTGCATTGGAAGCTGCTGGCCCTTTGCGATGCCTTGCAGGAGGAAGGCTGGGCTGAGCAAGCAGCGGGCCTGCAGATAGACACTGTTGGCACTGGGCTTGCCTCCATCCCTCCCTGAAGCCCACAGGCCTGTTCTCTAGGGGCACTTCCAACACGAGCTGCCAGAACATGCTCTGTGCCTCCAGGAAGCCCTCATCCCTCCGCTTCCTCCAGTTCTGCCACCACCCCAAACAGCGCCTCCCGCACAGCTGCCACCCTTGCCCAGGGAGCCGCCACCACCTCTCCGTCCCATCCTGCTGCACTCTCCATGGTCTGCGGGCTACCCATTGCTCCTCGTGCCAGCAGTGGAAGACGGAGCTCCTCCACTTGTGCTGCTCTCCTGCCTCCTCTGCCGGCTCCGTCCTGCTGCCTCCTCTCTGGCTCCCTTCAGCAGGCAAAGCTCTGCCACCCTGCTGCGCTTGCCACATGCGTCCTGGGGCTGTGCCCTTGCCCAGCACCTGGATCCGGGGCCAGCAGCAGGAGGAAGAAGACAGCGAAGGTCAGCTGGGGATGGCGGTGGCAGAGGGGGGCAACAAGGGTAGGCGGCAGAGTGCAGGTGGCCAAAAGTGCAGAGGTGATGGGGAGATAGGCAGGGGGTAGTTGAAGCAGAGGCAGTTTGTGCAGGGCAGGAGAATGTGACTGTGGGCCACTGCAACTGATCATAAAAGTGGGCCAGTCACCAAGCACCCACATTTTGATCATGTGGCCAGCGGGTGCCGCAACAGCTAGAACTTTGAGGACTGGTTGTAACTACCATTCATTCAGCGTTGGCGTAACTTCGAATGGTCACTGAACAACTGGTCGTAACCTGAGGACTACCTGTATTGCTATTGCAGGCTATTACTCTGCTGCTGAAGGTCTTGGTAGTTTCATTTGCTTACTTACTGCCTCTTGTGTATAGATGGGGTGTTGCAGTGATTTTGGTAATTCTGTACTTGTCTTCCTGAAACTAATCAGAGGTTGAGTAGCCTGTCCTAAACCTTCTTTTATGTCCCAGGTACCAGCCCTATTTGAGCCAAAAGAATCTGATAGAAGAACAGAATTAAATTGGGGTCATTCTAATACAGCTTTTAGTACAATGCACGAGAGTGCTAAAAACACTCGGCCCCAAATTGGAAAAAACAAACAAACAACCCCCAAAACTGTTAAAAACTGTTATGGAATAGAAGTGAAAGGAAGCAAAATAAATGCCTGGGATCCATTGGTCCTTAGGTTCATTTGTGGATCTCTGTGAACTGCTCAATTCCGTACAATAGAAACAACAAATCCAGGGGCAGAGAAGTTTTCAGAATTAAAGGGAGATTGGTGTGAGCAGGGATTTGCCAGTCTGAGCTTCCAAACTCATAAATTACTGGATTGTGATGCCCACTTTTTCTTAATGTCCTTTCTTCTGCTGTTGGGATGTTGAGATTGACAGATTCAAAATGTAGAACATATAGTGGTCCTGGAAAGTTAATGGGGAAAAAATCTGCAAGCGAATTTCCAAACTAGATGAGCCATTGATTTGAAGAGTTTAAGCCACTGCTGGTTTGATGTCAATAATAATTCCGTGCTGAATGTAATAAAGCTGGACTAGGACATACTCTTGCAGTGGTTATGTAGAAATCAGCAAACCAACAGTTGTCCAAACTAAGGACAACTATAGAAATAAAATACTCACTTCAGCAAATTTAAGGTACATTCTCTTTTTGAATTCAGGCAGCTAAGTTGGAAAATGTTAACACCTATTTTTCTTTACAGATAGTCCTCACTTAACGACCACAGTTGGAACTGGCAACTCTGTCACTAAGCAATGTGGTTGTTAAGTGAGACATCACATCACCGTGATGGGCTTTTGATCTTACTTCCACTGTGGTTGTTAAGTGAATCACCCATGGTCATTAAGTGAGACATATGACCATGACTTGCAATTTTATTGCTGGCCCCTCCATTGACTCTGCTTGTCAGGGTTGTGACGGCTGTGAAGGTTGCAAATGACAATCAGGTGACCGTAGGATAATCATGTCAAAGAAGGGCAGGGGTTCAATCATATTATTATGGCCACCATCTTGATTTTTTTCACCCCACCCTGTGGATGCTGCTGTATTAAATCCCAAAATGGTTCTGGAGGTAACAGTATTCCAGCTGATATGTTTGTAAGCATCTGCAAGTTATGCTTTCCTACATAGTCTAATTTTTTGAGATTCACTGAGTTAAGATAAAGAACAGAAAGCTAGTATATTGCAGAGCAAACCACCATCCTCAGATATAAATTGTATTTCCAACAGTGGCCTCTGGGGCCACAGAAGCAGTCTTAATACGAATTACAAATAAGCCTCCTGGTTTAAAAAGGGTTGGGAAGGGTCAGGACCAAGCCTTTGGCTGTGCCAGGTTGGACAGTCCTGGACAAAGGAGACCAGGGTTGGTACAGGATTTGCAGGCAACTCGTAGTGGTGACAGACATTAGGCTGGGCAGAATGGAAGAGCAGGATTCCTTAACAGGAAGAAGGATGCATTTCAGGGGACATCCTGCTAATTTTTAACTGCCCGTTGCCAGGATTTCAAAATGAGATAGACCTCCAGTGATGCAGTGCTAGAAAGCAGGATATGTAGTAAATTGCCAAAACCTGGCAATTGGTTAATAATGGCAACTCCCCCCTACCATAAATTAAGCTGCTAAGGAAAAAAACAACTAGGAATAGATTTTTGTGTGAAAGGACTGTGAGCTTATTTCTGACTGAGTTATACTACCTGTTCCTTAATTCTAAGATCCTGTTTCTCATGCCCACTGTATTAGATTTATACAAGGCTACTCCTTTTCCCAATCCCTTTAAAGTGTTGCAGATCGGTGCTGTGTTTGCACTTCTGCATGCTTTAAACATTTTCAGGAGACTGAATCCAAAGTACTGTATAAACCTACTGCTTTATATTTTGCTCCAATACTGCAGGATTCTAGGAAAACCTAACACGATTCCACCAGCGTGGAATCAGTTCACCCCTGCTACCAAAGATTATGTCCCTTTGCCAAGACCCCACCCCAAATTTTGTGTTGACTTCTGAGAACACACAATGCAGACCAACCATAAAAGGTTCGGAGAACGAAAACAAGGATGATCCAGGGACTGGAAAGTGAGTCCTGCATGGAGAAATTGAGATAATTGGAGATGTTTAGCCTTCAGAAGAGATAGTTGAGGGAGGATATGTTAGCAGTTTTCAAATAACTGAAAGGGTATCACACTGAAGGAGGTCAATATAGAACCCCTGTCTTGAACAGCAAGTTTCCCCTAGAAGTTAAATGACAGATTGGTGTTTGAAAATTCCTCAGATAGATTCTGGGTGCTTGTTATAATCTAGACACATCAAAAGAGTTACAGACACTCCTAATCCCTGATACTGTACAGTAAATCCCTGAACCCATCATTTGCATGGCAGAGGTGAGAAGAGCCAATGAATGATTTGTTGGTGTTAATTGGTCAGGTCACACACACACACACCCCAAGCTACAAAAGAGGCGAACAGAGTGCTAACATCTGCAGCTTAGTTGGAAGACATTGTAGGAGGAGGGCTGTGTTAGTCTCTGGTAGCCAAAAATCAGGTGGAGTCTGGTAGGACCTTTTCAGACAAACTGATTTTATTAAAAGGCTTACATTTTTGTGAACCACAGATGCATCAGATAAAGTGAGCTGTAGCTCATGAAAGCATCTGCCTTTTAATGACATCCATGGATTTAATACTTTCTTCAATTAAATTAATCGGTTGATTAATTTTTATCTGTTTAATAAGAGAAGGGGCTTTTAATCTGCAATCCAATTCAACACTGTGGCCCTGAATATTATCATTGTAATTATCAATATATATCATTCATGTTTGGCTTTTTTTTAACCACCAATAATTTTCTTTTTTCTATTTTTGCTACTGAAACAAAGCAACAGGCCAGCAAAGCCCACATATAATGATAGGTTTTATGATTTGTGATCTTAAGAAACAAACACAGTCTCTTAACTTGCTTAAAATTAGCCTACTGGAACAAACTCTCTTTTCACTGGGAGCTCCAAGTGACATATATGGGGGTCTCTTCTCATTTTATCCTCACAACAATCCTATGACGTTGCATCTGATAAAGT